GGACAGGATTGTAACCATGGCAATGAAATGATATACGATAGGATGAATGTAAAGCTAATGTTCTCCCATGTAAACTATCACATAATTCACAATAAAACATTTAAAAAAAAAAGTGAATAAGGTAGATAAATATCTGAAATCAAAATTTCATTGGATATACTAAGGAGTAGATGTTATCGAGGGAAAAAAAATCTGAATATAAAGGTGGTGGTGGTAGCATGCTGTGGAGTTGGTTCTGACTCATAACGATCCTGTAGTATAGGGTTTCGGATGCTATAAATCTGTACGGGAGCAGAAAGCCTCATCATTCTTCCGTGGAATGGCTGGTAGTTTAGAACTGCTGACACCTTGAGGTTACAAGCCCAACTACTAACCACGATGCTACCAGAGCTCTAAATATAAAGGGAGATCAATCAAAATTATAGACTGAAACACATAGAAGTTGGAAAAAAAAAAAAAATGGCCTCTGAGAACTGTAGGATGATTGCAAAGGTTAAATAGAATTAAAAACCCTGAATTAATTGACAAGAAATGAGGCAACAGGAACGTTGACAAAGTCCAAAACATTTGCACAACTAATGAAATGCCATCAAACACTGATCCAAGAAGCTCAGTAAACACCAAGAAGATTACACATAAAACCAATCACCATTAAGCACATCATAGTCAAACAGCTAAAATATAAACATAAAGAGAAGCCATGAATGTCTGACAGACCGTGAAGATAAAGGTGGCGACATTTGTTTTTTGGGGGGTTATCTGTTCATTTGTCTCTCGCTGTCTGCGCACCTCCATTCTGGTGAATAGAGGGGGTGCCTGAGCGATTGAACACCCCACCCCCACCCCCGGAGAGTTCTACTACACATGTGCACAGATCTCCTCGAAATTTAAAGTGAGAGTTTCCACTTAAAACCAAATGGCAATGCAAAATGTCTACAGAGGGCCCTGAACTGTTTATTGCCAGGAAAAAGGCCTGAACGGGGATTGTGGAATGGGACAGACAGAAGAAAAAGGAAATAGACCAAAAATTAAATCCTGAGTTATGTCACAATGACCAACAGTGGCGTCTTGAAA